TTTTCAATAGACCTGTGCCTGTTGCCTCCTTTTTCTTGTGTTTGGAGGGTAAAGGTGGAGGCCTGAGTTGATATCCCAGCTCTGCAGCCCACTAGCCACAAGATCTCAGTGCCTCACCTTCCTCATCTTTAAGATGGGGGTAAAAGTACACAGCAGGTGCTACTAGTGCCCTCCTGCCATCTGCCCCCTCTTCAGTCTCTGCAGTGCGCCAGTGACTTCAGCTTAGCATCTCTTCCATTGAGAAGTTCCTCTGAAGTCCTCCCAGCCAGTTGAGTAGAATTTTCTATTCGCGTGTTTGTTAAACTTGTGGTTTCGATGAGTTTCATTAACTCCTTCAGGCGGCCTGATTCCTGCGCTGCTCACAGCACTTAAATGTGGAAGCCAAGCAGCAAGCTCCTTCCCTCGGCAGCATCCTGGGAGGGAGGGTGGATGTGTTTGTCCAAAGGTGGCCAGGGACTGCGGAAACCTAGCAGCTCTTTAGGTGTAGGCCCTCCTAACAGCCCAGCATTAGTAATGCATGAGAACAACAGATGGCCTATTAAAAGAGAGAAGAACAACAGAATAAAAAGAGGAGAGAGAGAAAGGAGGACAATAGCAAAAGTAAACCAAAGGCCCTCCTGCTGCAGTGGGACAAGCATGGAAGTTGTCGCCCTGCTGGTGTCGGCGCCATTGAGAAACCTCTGGCTGGCAAGCCTGCTCTCCCCAGCCTGCGTCCTGTTTCTCTTTAGTCTGTGTTGATCAGATCTAGGCTGCACTAGGCGCCACCGGGCTGCTGCTCAGGGAGAAGGTGTGACCTACACCCCGGCTCCAGGCCAAGGGACCAGGAGTGTGGAACGCCTGCGGTGCAGATTGCTGCTTTAGCAGATGTTTTGGCTACTTCCACGGGGCCCTGTGAGCACACGTTTCCTCCTCGAGATTGTTTGTTATATTTGGCCAGACACACGAATGTCATGCCCACAGCTGCCTCTGTGCTCTCGGCCAGTTGGAAGTGGTGTTGCTTGTGGCATAAACGTGACACTCATTTCTTGCTTTTTGTACAGTCGTAAAAGGCAGTGCGTATCTCACTAAAGCCATTTCCTAGAAGTTACGGTGCACTCGTTGAAGCTGACACACAGTGGTGCAGAGAGTGGACTCTGGCTGGAGGGTCGCACGGGGCTCTGTTTTCTCAGCTGTCCAATTGTGCAGTGATACCTTACGGGGATACTTGAACCTTAATTGAGATGGTATTTATAGTAGTACTTGAAAACATTCAAAGCACCAGACAGATGTTATTTGGTACAGAGTGGCGCGTGAGGTTCAGAGAGACAGACGCGTTCTGCCCACAGAGACTTGAGATAGCAGTAAAGGAGGAGATGAGACGTGTGGGTGTTCGTACCACATGGTGAAAGGTAATTTTCTGCACATCTCTGATGGCTTTAAAATGCTGTGGGAGGTCCGTGGGGAGGAGGCTTCCTGGAGAGGGTGATATGGAGCCATGCTTGGAAAGATGAGGCATTGAGGTGAAGGCGTGGGGGCTCTGGCTTGCAGGTGTTGGAGGGAAGGTCCTCAGGCAGAGGACAAGTGCAAGGAGAGGTGCATCAGGCCTGTCAGAGCCGCAGCAGTCAGAGTGGCGTTGAGCCTCCGTGTGGATTTGTACCCGGGGCAGGGGGCACCCATGAGAAATGTTGAGCCAAGGTAGTGTCAGGATCAGAACCGAGCTTAGGAATGAATAATGAGGTGGTGGTTTAAACTGACAGAGAAGGGAGAGACTGGAAGCCCTCCTAACCAGAAACTACTAGGAAAGTACATGAAGACCTAATCTCTTTACCTCCCAATATTATTTTGAAGAGTAAACGAGACAAAGGGAGAGGAAGTACGTTTGGAGAAGTGAGTCCAGATGGTCTGGGTCCCAAGCTTCCCCACGACAGGGCGGCAGTCGGCCTCCCAGTCAGGCTTGGTGGTCACAGCCTAGAGGAGGCATGTGGCTCCCAGCACCCCGCTGTGCTAGGGCCCTGCCCCCTCTTGCTTCACCCCTCTCTTCGCTCCCTGCCTAGCTCTTGAATTCCTTGACTTTGTTTCCCATTTCTGGCCTGGGAATACCCAGCACCTGGGGCTTATCTATTTCTTTTCCCACATTTGTCCTTGACTCTTTCCAGGTAGCTCTCCCCTTCCCTGCCACCTGGAGGAACCACCTGCTCAGACCACCCCCCCCCCCAATTCCAACAAAGCCTTGGTCCCCAGGATCTCTGCAGGTGGCCTTGCGGAGTGACTGGCCCATCGAAGAATGCTGAAAGAGACTGGGAGTTGGATACAGATTTAGATTATGCTGCTACCATTTCCTAGCTTGGGTAGGGGATTACTGAATGAACTGCTGTGAGCTTTGGTTTCCTCCAGGGTGAAAGGAAGATCAGATCTTTCTCTCTTGCTCTTGCTCTCTGTCTCTCTCTCCATTTGGTTGTGACACTTAACCAAGGTACTGACTTAAAGAGCTGGTTGGTGTGTGGTGAATATTAATTGCCCACTGCCTTTTCTTCTGACCTCCCATTCCAGATGAAGAGCATTCCCTTATGAGTTCCACATGTCCTGCATATCTCTCCCTCTCATTCTCCTCCTTCCTCTACTGCTGCTTGGGGAGAGGTCCTTGAGATCCCGAGATAGAACTTGAAGCACCGTTTCTTATAGAAAGAATGTCATGAAATAGTAACAGTGTTGTTCATGTCCGTGAGTATTTGAACTGATGTTCCCAAGCAAGCAACTCACCGACAACCTTTCCAGAAACCATCCATTTGTAACCCCAGGTCTGCCTGTCCCCTGTGTGTGTCTGCTGTAGCCCTCAAAGGCCTCCGTGGGTGGCTGGCACAGGAAGTCTCTAGCAGTCACACTGGTGCAGGCACAGTGGGAGCTTAGCCCCGAGTCCTATGCCATCCTCACGACTCTATTTTTATAAAATGTAAGAACTCAAGTTTAATGAGATAACAGTCAGAAGGGAAATATCTCACCCATCCCCAACTCATATTTAGGCCATTCCTGGATGGCAAGAACTGCCCCTGTTACAAAGTTCTTTCTGATGTTTGTGACTTTTCAACATGGTCACAGGGCTCCTTCCAGGGCTGCTGCTGAAAAGACCCTTTTTTTTTTTTTTTGTGAGACAGAGTCTCACCCTGTTGCCCAGGCTAGAGTGCTGTCAGCCTGGCTCACAGCAACTTCAAACTCATGGACTCAGGCGATCCTTCTGCTTCAGCCTCCCGAGTAGCTGGGACTACAGGCACGCAGGGCACCATGCCTGGCTAATTTTTTCTATATATTTTTAGTTGGCCAATTAATTTCTTTCTATTTTTAGTAGAGACAGGGTCTCGCTCTTGCTCAGGCTGGTTTCAAACTCCTGACCTTGAGCAATCTCCCGCTTCGGCCTCCCAGAGTGCCAGGATTACAGGCGTGAGCCACCGCGCCTGGCTGAAAAGTCCCTTCTTGATACCTGTGGGCATAAAGGCACCTGCTGAGGAAGACGGGGTACTCGGGGCCTTGCCACGTACCACACCCCCCACCACAAGAATCTGTTCTCCTGACAATGTCCCCATCACTTCCCTATCCTGCCACAGGTATAAAGGCCACCCCGTCCCCAGGGGAAGCTGACTGTCTGAGGCCTTTTATGTGCCAGGGACCAGGGAAGTCCAGCAAGCATCTTCCCACTGCCCCTATCCCCTCTCTACAGGGTGGGAAGGAAGAACGGTGGGCATGCCCCAGTCTTTAAAGTGATGCCAGAATCTGCTCATTACTTCTAGAAAAAAACGTAACACTGAGCAACTAACTACTGGGAACCAGGCCCTATAGTAAGTGCTATAGCAACTGTCTTTTTCCTTTTTTAATTCTTGAGTCACCACAACATCATATCTGCAATGTGGATACACTGTTAATACCATTCCCATTTCGGATAACCCAGGCTTTGGAAGGTTATGTGCGTGACTTCCCTGCCATGAGTCACCAGGGAATGAGTGGCAGAGTCAGGTTTAAATATGACTCATGTCAGAGGCCAGGCGTTGGCCCTCTCCCACGCTGCGTAGGGTGTGGAAGAGAGTGTGCCTGCACTGGGTTCAGCGGCTGGCCCCATGCCTGCGACACCCTCCCCCCTGCGTGTGCCTGGTGGGGACAGGGGAGCAGGACTGGCCCCTTCGCCTGCTGGTGAGCGGGGAGGGCGCGGCCTCTGCTCTGAGCCCCACAGGTCCTATTGGCCAGTTTCCCACTGTGGCACGGAGAGTCTTCTAAGTAGTAAGCTTGACAGACGGAATGGCAGCATCTGCAGGATGATTAGTGTTCAGTTTGCAGAGGACAAAACCGAGTCCCAGAGTCCCTTCCAGAAGAGCAAGTTGACGGCGGAGCCCCGGGAGGGACGCAGGTCTCCCCGTTCCCCGTCCAGCTCCCATCTCCGGCTGGGAGGTTTGTGGTCTTGGCATTCACCTCCCAAATGTAAACTGCTCGGGCTGCAGTTTGGGCTCTTTCCTTCCTTAGAGAAGATGGAAAATTGCTAACTTCCCATCCAGTGACGTATCACCAAGTGTTCCTCCAGCCTCCTCTTCCTCAGGCTAGAGCCCCTCGTCTGTTCATTCCAAAAGGACTCCTTTCCTGCTCCAGCTTCCTGCATCGAGACTCTTTGTCCCTACCCACCCCTAAACCCCCATTTCTCTCGGTCCTTACCCCAAATCAAACCAGCTCTATCCACATTCACCGCCTACATTTTGAGGTCTGGATCTTTTTCTGCTCCCTTTTTCTTCTTATGGTGGTTTCACTTCTTTCAAGAGACTTTTCCACGCTGAGCCCAAGCCACTATCATGACCAGTATTGGTCAAAAAAACTCCAGTACTCAGTTGTAATATGAACTCAGGTGTGTGTTTTCAGTCCTGTCCTCACGAATGTCCCCGTGTCCTGTCCTGGTGCTCCTGACTTGACACTATAAAAAAGTGTGGGGGGAGGGAGGGCAGGCATCCACGTTTCACTCATTTGGAACAATCTGTTTTGCTTCTCAGGTACGCAAATAAGCTGCTTCTCCCCAAGTTCTTTCTCCTGGCGCCAGGCCGCCTTCGTGGACTCTTACTGCTGGGCAGCTGTTCAGCAGAAGGACTCGCTGCACAGCGCTTCTGGAAACCTGCCACTGTGGCTGCACAAGGTAATGGGAGACACTTCCAAATCTGACTTGTTTACTTTGTATTACGCTACGGAAGCAAAGGCCAGGGAGGCTGTGCCAGCACAGATACGTATAGCCGACCAGGGCTGCATCTCAGATCGTAAAACGGTGGCACTTTATAAAGTCAAAAGGAACCTCAGCGATGACTTGGTGGAGGACCTTAGTGTAGCAGATGGGGAAACTGAGATGCTCTTTGGAGTTTAGCTCTGTACCAGTGGCACCTCCTGTGTCTTAGTCACCTTATATGTCGTTAATGGCCCAGCAGGGTGTCTGGCCCATAGTAGGCCCTCAGTACATTTGGAATCTCTGAATGAGTATAGCTAGATAGTGGCAGAAGCTGGATGCACTTGGAGCTTCTCGGCTGGTGCCTTTTCAACCACACACAGGTTCTCTTGTAAAAAGCAAGGACTGGCACAGATTTCAGTTGCTTCTAGCCCATGTGTTTTTGGAGCATCAAGAAGCCTAGTGGTGACTCATTCTGGGGCTGTTGGCTGCAGCACAGTTTTTGGAATAGATTACTTTGCTTTCTGATGGACACAGATTCTGCAAGGAAGGGAAGATACTGCACAAGGGACATTAGTATCCGGGTTCCATGACCCATAGAGAAGAAGTGCCCAAGTCAGGCACTCAGTGGTCAGGCAGTAAGTGTTGCCTGGCATGCCGGGGATGCGTGGAGGCTGGGCAGTGAGGAAGTTAGCCTGGAGTGGGCAAGTGCATGGAGAAGAATATTCTCTGAGTCATGAAGTGACTGCATTCGGTCTTCTCTGTGCTTATGAAAGTAGGACTTTGTTTCAGCCTGTGATTAATTTCAATTTCAAATGGTTTTGTCCATCGTGAAAACAAGTAGAACATTTGTGTTTCTTCTGGTATTCTCATCTGCTGAAGAAGGCATAGCATCTTAGCTTCTGAAAAGCCAAAGGCTGAAGCTTGTTTGATGCTCCCCTGATTTGACCTGCGGCTGGGCACACAGGCAGTATCCTTCTTTGTAAAAGGAACATTTTAAGCTTACTGTGACTCAGGCCTGTTTTCCTTCCTGTAGGTTTATTGCGTGCCATTTGGCACAGGGATGCCCTACCGTGATTCCTTTCTTCATTTAGGTTGGGCTTTTTTCTTGGATTTTCAGCCTTAGCATTATGTGGGTCCTCATCAGCTTTGTGTGGTTTATTTAGTAGCCAGGACAACAAATAATAGGTTCTGCGGTGGGAATGGGCACAGTTCCATAATTGAAACAGCTTTGTAAATCTGAATTCATAATGTTGTAGTTTAAGTCCATTTGTTATAATGCTCTTATGAAAATGCAAAGTTGTAATGAGTCACTGGGCTAGGCATTGATGCACCCACAGAGGAAGAATATACAATCTGGGTTGTCTAAGGTAAGAGTTGGCAGGGATGTTAGCGGATCTGAAACTTTGAGAATAAGAAGAAACTCTTAAGTTTTTGTCCAGATGCATTTTACACATAAGGATATGGGAACCTTAAGAGAGGAAACCCAGGGTCACAGGACTAACTGCCAACCGTGCAGACTGGGACTCTTGGGTCTCTAACTCCCAACTTATTGCCCTTGTGGTCAAGGAGCAGTGTAGTGAGGAAATGAAGATGACAGCAAGGGATAGTTACCTGGTGTCATTGAGAGGTTAAGAAGTTCTTTCTGGCAGTGGAAGACGAGTTGGTCTGGACCGAAGCGTGGCTGAGCATCAGAGCAGAGCTCTTGCCACATTCACAGGGCTGGAGTCAGAACTTGAAGTCAGGACCTGCCGAGCTGGAAGGACCCTGGTCAGCTCCCCAGGCTTTTTGGTTGGGACCCTGAGGCCATACCTTGGCAGTAAGGGGTGATCAGAATTAAACCAGCTCTCATAGGGACTAGAGTCCTGGTTCGAGTCACTGCAATGTAATTAAATGAAGATCTGGGATTACCAGTGTCTCTAGTCTCCCATTTTCTCTGGAGGAAGGTGCCATCATCCAGAGCCTGATGTTCTTGCTCTGATTTTTCAACACTCAACACTCACTACTCAACACTCACTTGGAAATAACCAGGTGTAAAATAAGACCAGGAAAAAAGTCACAAATAGAAACAGACCCATAGGAGATCCAGATAGTAGGTTGATCAGACATGCATTTTAAATAATACTTAACAATACGTTCAAAGAATTATAATAGGGAGGATTTTACAGAGAACTGGAAATAGCATGAAAAAATAAATTGGAAATTCTCAAGCTGGAAACAGTAAGTAACAGAGTCGATTTTAGCTGACGTTGACTGAGGGTCTCCCACATGCTAGAATGTACACTTGGCATCAGAGAGCCACAGTTGCTCACTGTTTAGTGGGAAAACAAAGGTGGAGGACACTGAGAGGGAATAACTAGAAAGCTCCACGGCAAAAGGAGAGTGTGGTTATCACAGAAACCAAGGTTTCGGGTAGCAGTGAGCTCTGTTAAGTGCTGCTGCAGAGAAACCAGTGCAGTTGGGGTGAGACACAGCTTAATGGATTTAATGAAAGCATTAGTGACCCAGCAGGAGTGATTTTAGTGGAAAGCTAGGAACCAGATGGCTGTGGTTGAAGAGTGAATGGGAGGTGAGGAAATGAAGATGACGGCAATAAGCAGTTTCTTCAAAATTGTTTTTTGTTTTTTTTTTCTTTTCAGAATCTCTCTCTTCCTGGTAACCAGAAGAGAGAATAATGAGCTAGGTGGCAGCTGGAGGGAAGGTTTGGGGTCCAGGAAGATTTTGTAATATGAGAGTTTTGAGCATATTCCAGTGGTGTTGGAAATAGGCAGGTAGGGAAGCGGCTGAAGGTGCAGGGCCTGATAGGTACAAAGACAGTGCCTGGTGGGGTGGGTGGCACTTCCCGAGGGAGGCTTGTCCGGCTGGGGAGCAGTGGGTCTTTGATTGCCTAGGAAGGGCAGGGCAGGCTGAGTTGCAGAGGATTCTGCAAACTAAACACATGCATAGGTTAAATGCTGGGGACAGTGGGCGCCATTGCAGGTACCTGAGCTGAGCGGGGTGGACTTGGTGGTTTCAAGAGGTAAGCCTCCGTGATGGTGTGCAGGGGGGCACAGAGCCACTTGGTAGGCACAGAGTGAGGGTTCTGGTCAGGGAGCAGAAAGGAAGAGAAGCGGTTATTTCTGAGAAGGCAAAGAATGCACAGAAAGCAACTCGATGTCTTATTTCTGATTAGAAGATTACACAAAAGGATGGTCCGAGGTGATATCAAATGCCGAGACCAGGGGTCAGCAAACTTTTCTGCAGAGGGCCAGCATTTCGAGTCACACAGTCACTGTCGCAGCCACTCAGTTCTGCAGAGAGAGACCCAATCGGTTGTGGCCAGACTTGGCTCAGGGCCTGCAGTTTGCCGGCCCCTGGTCTAGGGTGGTGGCTGTGGAGGTGATAGGAGGCGGGTAGGTTCAGGGCGTCTCTTCTAAGATGTGGAGCCGGCAAGACGTGCCGATTGGACGTGGGAGGAAGCAGGAGGGATCAGAGCCACGGATGTGGCCGACCTTTCAGGCTCTGCGTGTGTGAGGCCATTTGCTCCTTTTGAAGAAGCCTGGTGAAGAATCAGGTTTTGGAGGAAAACCAGATAGTTCTTCTTGAACAGGCTGAACCAGTGGGCTAGAGGATGCGTCAGGTGGGCAGCGAGATAATGCTGTCTAGAGGTTGCAGGGTGGGTTGGAGCTGCACTGCGGTGGGCTGTCAGAAGATAGTTGGTGTTGAGAGCGCTGTGGGCCTGGGCGGGGTTTCAGGGCGTGAGTGTAGATGGAGCGAGGTCTGAGGGCTGCTCCGGCATGGAGACTTGGCGGGATAGGAGGGGTGGGCAGGGGAGACGGGGCCAGGGAGGTGAGGAAAATGAGGTGTGCTGTGTGTGACTGAAAGGCAGGGTGTCCTCTAAAGAAGGCCTGTGTCACCGTAATAATCTGTGTCAAATGCTGCCATTAAGAGACTGAATTCGGTGAGGACTGAGACTTAGATTAACTCTGTGTTTGGGTGGGTTGTCATGGGTTGAATTGTGTCCCCTGAAAGATGTGCAGAAGTCTTAAACCCCTGTACCCTAGAATGCGACCTTATTTGGAAATAGGCTTGTTGTTGCCGATGTAATGAGTTAAGATGAGGTCACCCTGGAGTAGCGTGGGCCCCATATCCAAAATGACTGGGGTCTTCATGAAAAGAAGGAAATTTGGACACAGACAAGCACAGAGGGGAGACACAGTGAAGACACGTGGGGAGAAGACAGCCACGTGACCACAGAGGCCTGAACGGAAGTGATGCTGCCCCAAGCTAAGGGCTGCCAGAGGCTGGAAGGGGCAAGGAAGGATCTTCCCCCAGAGACTTCTCAGCACCTCCATGAGAGATGCGACCATGAATGTGGCTTTCCTAGCCAGGCCGGATTCTATAATCGCCGCAGCCCCTTTATTTCCACATTGATCCCCTTTTTCAAGTTTTTCTTTCTCTTTTCTTTTTGTAAAACATAGATAACATAAAATTTACCTTTTTAACCATTTTTAGGTGTGCAGTTCGGTGGCATTAAGTACATTCACACGTTTGTGCAACCATCACCACTGTCCATCTCCTGAACTTCTTCATCATCCCAAACTGGAACTCTATACCTGTTAAACGATAGCTCCCCCTTTCCCCCTGTCCCCCAAACCCGGGCAACTGCCATTCTGTTTGTGTCTCTGTGAACGGGCCTGTTCTAGAGACCTCGTAAGTGGACTCATACGATGTTTGTCCTTTTGTGTGTGGCTTGTTTCACTTGGCACGATGGTTTCAAGGTCCATCCATGTTGTAGTGTATATAAAAATGTCCTTCCTTTTTAAGGCTGAGTAACGTTCCTCGGTCGGTGTGTGTCACGTTGTGTTTATTTGTTGATCAAAGGACACTTGGGTTGCTCGCACCTCCTGGCTATTGTGACTGTTGCTGCCGTGAACGCGTGTCAGCGTCCTTGCTTTCATTTCCTTTGGGTCAGTACCCAGAAGTGGAGTTGCTGGATTGACCTTCAGCGTTAGGAAGGTTTTCCTGTTGGTTTCCTTCTGGCTTCTCCGAGTTGGGCAGACTCATCTCCTTCAGGCTCTTCATCCCTCAGAGGCGGCTCGGAGCGGTCGAGACCTTGTTCAGGGACCCACAGCCAGGTGGTGGGGAGCCCACAGCCTCCTTTGGCTCTCAAATGTGTTCCACATGTGCAAAGTCACAGGTTTAG